AATTTATGTAAAATATCACTTACTGACAATCTTGAAGATTAACACGATTCTGGAAATAAGCCAAATCACATTTCTTTGCCATTTTGGCATACATTTTGTTTGAAAACATCCATGCATCTTTGTGCTTAAGGAACAACACAGACATGATGGTGGGGGCACAATTCTTTAATGGTTCTCCTTGCAAGGCCGGTCCCAATTGGTGTTAGCGGGAGGGGAATAGCTGATCCTTAGGCACTATCCTGTGGCTCCTGCCCCTTTATGGGTTCTCCCCTTCCGCCTCCTTTTCCATGTCCACATGAAGATGCCGGGGATGTCATTTCTTGGTTTGAGATTAATATGTCAATGATATCCAGCTAAAAATCTTTGTCCTCAGCCTAAGTAAAGCTGTCAAGGTCATTTGCAAATGTCTTGAGGCTGTGAGAATCTGGATGGGGAGGAACCAGTGGTGGTATGCGACCAGTTCGGCCCAGTTCGGGCAAACTGGTAGTAAAAATCACTACCAGTTCGGAACTGTAGTAAAAAAGGCTCCAATCAGCTGAAAGGAGGGAAAAAAGCCTCCGACAATTAGCTGAGAGGATAAAAGACCGAAAAGTGCATGGGAGGGCGGGGGAGTCACTCTTAGCTTTCTGTTTCTTCATCCTGTCAGCTAATTGGTTTGTTAGTGGCACGCAACGTGCGATCACCCACCGAACCGGTAGCGACTAAGGAACAGGTTATGGCTTGACCCTGCTGTGTGGCTATGGGTTTGGGAGCGGGAAGGAGAGAGCCCTTAAGGGGCCAGAACCCACAGAATAGTGCCTAGGGGTTAGAGGAAGAAGGAGAACCACTGCAGAATAATGCCCCAACTGACTTCACAATATTGTCTTTTTTTTGAATAGTTTGTTACCATTTTACTCCATCTAACTCCTTTATCTTTAAGAATTATATTTTGTGCTACATTGTACTGTTCTTTTTCCTTTTTCTTCACAGAGAAGTTCCTTCATTTTCCTTATGAACAAAATGCACAAGTCTAGTAACATCTTTGTGAATTGAAATGTCTAGAAATTTAAATGATAATAAATATGCCGAGAAAGGGTACAGTATTAACTTGAACAACTCTTAGCTGCTATCCAAATGTTTGGATTTTTGTTGCTCGCTTTTGTATTTTTAACTTCAGAAAACTGTAAAATCCTGTGATGTTTTTCATTGTACAAACTGTAGATTCAAAAGTCTTGAGAAAACCTATTGATTGATGTTGCCTTTGCCTTAGCATTTTAAATACTTTGAGTAATTTTAAATCCTGTTCCTCCCCTCAGTAGGAAGAATGCTAGAATATTTTATATTGCAGTAGGAATTTAGTTGAATTTAAATTCCTTCATTTTCCTAGACAACACTGCTTTAATCACAGAATTTTTCAAACTAGCATAATTAATACCAACAAATCTTTTATCCATCTGGCGATGATTCTTTTTTTACAGGATATAGCCAATTTTCAATTCTGCCTAAAAGAACTTAAGATTTTGTGTAATAGCTTTACAATTTTTATAACAACTCTGAGACTGAAATTTTCTGGCTCATTTAACAACTGTTGGAGATGTATTTTAATGAGTAGAACTGATGCTTTGATTAATCTAGCAGGCCTGGATGCTGAGAAGAAGAGCTGTTTAAAAGCCAAGCTCCATCCTGGTTCTGATTTAATGTAATTTTTGCTGGCCATGACTAAAAATAGTCTTTAAAATTTACTGTAGAATGAGACTGCAAGATTTATTGAATATAAAGAAATAAGAAGAAACCATTTGCATAATAGTTTAAACTGAAGGAGAAAGAAGTGCCTTGATTCCATATGGTTTTTCAGGAACAAGAAAAATGGTGAACCCCCTCCCAAACAGTAACAAAAGAAATACAACCTGAGGAAGAAGGTTTCTAGAAATAAGAAATGTCTTCATTATGTTCTCTTAGTTAATGAACAGATGAGTAAATCCTAGACTGGTTCTAAAGAAGAGCTCAATTAATCCTGGGGAAAGTTAAGTTATAGAAACTAAATTAACAGAAATGGATGAGTAATTGAGATGGCAACTTATAAAGCAGTGGGATAAGGTGAGAAATAATGCCTCACTTATGAAAATTCAGGACATTAAAATAAAATGGGGAAAATGACGACAATTATATTCAGAAGGTAAGAGTTAAAAATGTATGAATTTGCAGAGGATGATTTAAAAGAACTATTTTTGGCTTGGTTTTTTATTTGAATTAACAGTATTTTTTTGGATTTTAGTTAGATAAATGTAACTCATCATCTGCCAAAACAAAGGACTAAACTTCATGGAGCCCAGATATGTTCTTGTTGATTTTTTATATATATAAACAAGCACACACATACCCCTAAGCTGATAGCAAATTTGAACAATCTTCTTGAACTACAATTTAATAAGATAGAAATAATTGTTTCATTAAAAAATCGTATGAAAAATCCTTTTACTTTTACAGGACATTAAACATAGATGGATTCCTCTTCCTACACAATGATTAAAAAGATAAAAGATTTGCAGTTTCAGTAAAAAGGAGCTGATTGCAGAGTTTGTGGCTCTTAAAACTGAACTATCACTTGTAGCTGAAGACCAAAAGATGAAATTAATGAGCTGAGCTCATCTTGATGCAGTAGTAGGATAAACAGTTCAAAATTAAGGATTTCATTTTCAGATAGATAACTTGATCTATGAAGAAGAATAAAGAAATGAACTCAGGGTGAATCTTTAATACCTATTGGGGGAGAGAGAGAGACAGAGACAGAGAGAGATTATGAAGGGAAAACAAGTCATCCATTCACTCGTTCATTCTGTAGACTTTAGAGAACAGCAACATTAATGTATCTGGAACATTCCTATCTCTTATTGCACTCTCCAACACATCTATTTTTAAAAAGGATTAAGACAGACATCTATATAATATTGGGTGATTTACAGAGGTGGCATTCAGCAGGTTCTGACCAGTACTGAAGAACTGTTAGTGGAAATTTTGAGTAGTTTGGAGAACCAGCAAATACTGCCTCTGACTGGAGATTTTATAGTATTCTTCCCCTGCCACGCCAACCAAGCAACATCTACAGAACCGGTAGTAAAAAATTTTGAATCCTACCACTGGTGATTTAGTTCCAGTTTGAGAAGTGAGATGATTATTTCTGATGTAGTATTACATTAGAGAGAATGTTGGGTGGGATGGATTGAATCCTCCCCAAGTCACAGAAAAAAAGTAGTTACGTGTAAAAAGTATAGTACATATAATGAACACCTATGCATGTGTCCATTTATAAAAGATATGAAGCCACATTACAAGAAACTTATAGTCTTGATTGGGAAAACACTTAATGGTCTTCCAATCCAGAGGAGTTTCTTTTGCACCAGGCTAGTTCAGTATTATTTGAAAATACAGAGATATTAAATGGGATTATGGTTCCCCTAGTATTTTATGTTTCAAATAAATCACAATTGACTTTTATTTTAGAATAGCTATTCACCAATTCACCTTATATTATGATCATCCTATCTATGTGGGCACTAAGTGTTAACTTGATAACACATACTGTAACCAATCAGCAAAATTCCAAAATGGTGAAACTTATATGGACAGATCTGATTAAAGTAAGAGATCATCTACTTGTGGAATGTGAATTACAGTGAATAATCAATTATAAACATACCTAATGGTGAATTTTTTACTTAGTTCTGTGATCAAATTTCAAAGCACTGAAATGTTAAAGCAAACTATTTACCTTTCCAATAGATCTAAGTATTCAAGCCAAGTATTCAATGGGAAATTTTAAAAAGCAGTTGTAGGAGAGAAATCAATTAAATAATTGTCAATGATTACATAGAAGACAAGGAAAAATTGCATCTTTTCATAAGAAAATACCAAAATGAGGTATTAAACTTTTAACAGAATTTAAGTATTTATTGTAGTAGTAGTAGTAGTAGTAGTAGTAGTAGTAGTAGTAAAACTAGAGTAACTGAAAAGATCATTCTCAAATTTATAATCTTAATATTGGGAACAGTTATAAAAATGCAAATGTTTTTTAAAAAAGATGCCAGAATTATTTAGGGAGAGAAATGAATAGAAATTGGAATAAGAATATTGATGAACTTTGTTTTTATATGATTTACTTTGAATAAAACTTTTTTTTTTTAAATGGATTAGCAATCCTAAACATACTTACTGTACCTAGGAAGAAAAGATGATTAAACTGATTGGATTTACTTCAAAATAGGCTTGTAGAAAATTGTACCATACTTTGATATAAAAAGTTGGTGTTCTGCTAGTTATTTAGACAACTATATTCCTCCACAAAAGAGGATATAAAATGTTCCTACTTTATGTTTTATATTTCAAGTTACAGTCTTAGCATAATTATTTCTCTGTGGAAACCAGCTTCTAACACCAAGAACCAGCAGGCAAATCCATGTTTTGGGTAAAGTGAGTCTTGTGAGTACTATGAAAGTTCTAGTAATTAATAGAAGACTTTTAAGTACAAGGAAATGACATGTAATTAGTCAAATGTATTTTTTAAAAATCAGATAAGTTATATGCTCAGTACATAACTGAAACTCTATGAATGCCAAGGGATTCTTCTTTTTCCTTTAATGAATCTACAGAATCAATGCAGGAACACTGTGTGCTTTTGTATGGGTTTAAAAGTTCCCTGAATAATGCACTAATATTGGTAAATTGTAGTTAGAAGGAAGAGACAACAAATAGGGAGAGTCAGAAAGTCTCTGCGCCATGTTTGGTGCACGTGCCCAAAGCATACCCACCAAGCCACACCCACCAAACCGGTGGTAAACTTGTTTGAAATGGACCACTGGACTAAAAAAGATATTCTAAAATTCTAAATGTTCTTATGAAAAAGTAAAAGAAAAAACAAATGGGATATACATTACGTGCACAGATTGCTCTGTAGCTTGCTTACCTCGGTTAATTAAACAAAGAGACTACTGTGTTTTTATTCAATAAAATTTTATTGTCTGAATTATAAATATTTTCCATTTTCCCCCTATGTACAATTGCAAAATACTTTAACATATTCTACCATCACCTGCCATTCAGAACCAATCTGTAAATCACATGAAAATGCCATTATGAAATAAAAGTGTCTGTTCTTAGCCCTCAAGTGGACATTCACACACTCACACAAAAATGAAACAAGGAGGGAAACTGCAGGTGTCATTGCGAAACTTTCGCTACATAGTAGCAAGAAGAGTAATGAAAAGATCTCCACTCCCACTCAAAAGTCTATGTCGGCAAGCTTTTCAGGATGTTTGTTATAGACCAGTGCTGGCCAGAACATTTCTGGAGAACTAGTTGGAATCCGAATTCATTGTCGCTGTTTTCCTGCAGTTCCAGGCAACGTTTGGATTTTCTGTTCTGGATTGGACCTCCCTTTTAAAAGTGGAGAAAGAGAAAATGCAGAGTCAATATTTAAGTTAAAGATCAGTTTTCAACTCATGATAGTTCTAGTTATTTAATCAAAGAGATTCCAAGTTTTCATTTATGTAAGTGATTTGGGGAGAATTTGAAAGTTGGATGGACACTTTTCACTGGCAGAGGGTTGCAGGAGGCCGTTTTCGCTGACAGAGTGCTCGGGCCAACACCAGCGCCCCTGATACAAATGACATTGAGCTGGCCACTTCCACCACAGCCCTCCTGAACCCTAAGGTCAAACACAACCCTGATGTAGCCCTCAATTAAATCAAGTTTGACACCCTGCTCTAGATGTTCTCCATCGCATCTATAGTTGTCCAATGAATCCAGTGACCCTTTTCCTTTTACTGATTTCTCTCTCTTTTTTTTTGTAAGCACGTGAACAAAGTTCTAAACTGCCACTACTTAAAAAACAGCTATAGTTGGATATTCTTCAAAAAGACAATGCTGGTGGCTAGCACTTGAGTAAGCAATGCACAATTCTTCTGTACTTATTTTAGAAGACCAACATCGAAAAATATTTCATTTAAAACATTGCACACTAGTGGAAAATTGTTTTATGGAAACAATATTCTAGCAAGAAAGACTATGATTAAACAATATTTTAATATCAATGTTCTGCCAAGCAATCCACAAGAGTACAAACTATGTACAAGGCAAAGCTGTTCTTCCTTTCCCATCATGTGATCCTGTCCATCAATGCTCAGTTTGGATTGCTATGTTGAGACACAAAAAATAAAACTTTCATGATCTATGGAGCAGGACTGCATCACAGCTTTCCTGGGCTTGTTCCTGGGAAGGGTTGGGAAGTGGGAAGCTCCCAAGCAGTGGACAGAACTTCCCAAGTTTTCTTTCTCCAAATATCACACATGTGGGATTCTGAGAAGCGAAGCAGTGGAAATCAAGTTGTACAACACAGATCTACCTCTCAAAAGAGTGTTAAATTATTGAACATAAGGATACCATGTTAGATCAGCCAAGGGTTTTTTTAAAAACATATCTGATTCAACCAGTCTGTGGAAGCCAGCTACCTGGTCTTTCCTGCAGCCCAAGCAAAAATGGTCAGTGATAGGAAGGGAGGGGTGTTCTTGTAGCAGTCTAAAGTGGCCAATAGGAACTGAGCAGATCCCAGCAGATCCCATCATCAACCCCATCATCTGTGAAGCACATGGAAACTAGGTCAGGACAAGAGGGAAAGCACTATTTTAAAACTGGAATAGCTAAAGAAATTTTGCTTTTAGCATGGGCTACGAATGAGACGAAGAAAGCATCATGATGCCATGTCATATAAAAGGAGTTGATGGGAGTTCATATCATAGCTAGAGGGAATATGGATGACTTGTGGGACAAAGGAAAAAGTAAGTTATTTATCTGGGAAAAGAGCTATTGATCTTACTTTAAATTGTTACTTAAACTGAATATTCTGCTATTAATTTAACAGATATAATAATAATAATATTAATATAATATTAATTTTAATTTACTTTCCCCCCCCCCATTTTCAGAAAAAAAGAGAAAAGTTAGTTCCCTCTCTCTTCTATTAAATAAAGGTCAGATTCTCAAGGTTGAGTCTGAAGTATTATTCAGTATTAAGACAAAAGCTGCTCTATAGATAAAAAGATAAAGGGAGATAAAAAGGCTGAAGTTACATTAATGTTAGATACTTTAAAAAATGATGGCATGCAATTGTGCATAGTATATATTTCCAGTTGACTGTGTCAAAGAAATGACTTGTGGAATATCTTAACTTCATATCTTTGCAACATTATCCATAACTGTTTGGTTTTATATTTATTACCACTAAATTGTTGCACTAGCTATCTCATACCCATTGGACAGACATGAAGAAGAGATGGACTGATCAAATATAAATTACAAACTGCATTTTGGTTGAGAATTTTGGCTAGTGTGGGGGATGAATGCAACTATGAAATTATCTCATTGAATACTTGTATAGACTCAAATAATTCTTTTATTCAGCTTGCCTTACTGAACAACTTAGGTTAAAGTTATACCATAATCAAGAAATCAAGTGAAAGGTTGTAATTATCAGATTTAACCTTCTGCAGTATTTCAAGATATTATAAGAATCGTATCTCTTTATTATGCAACTAAGGAGTTGTCACCATATATCCACAAGAAGCCTATTATGCGTAGCATAAAAATACATTAAATAGATCCTCAATTTAATAATTCGCTAGATGGTTCTGTATTGAAGAAAGATGGGAACTTTGCAAGTTAGCCTCATCCTCCCATTCTACCAGATATTTAACAGCTAGAAATGAATTCTGTAGAACTCAGTTCTTCTAGATGCCTTTGCAATCCACCAATAATTCAAAGTGCCAGATGTGCATTCAAACATCTTGTAATTAAAATGTCACCCATGGAATACCTGCAGGAAAAGTGGAGAAGGGGGTAAAGAAATGTAAGAAAGGCGGCAAAGAGAGTTAGAAAGGAACAGGGAACAGTTAAAATTATATTTTACTTTTACCAGTGGGATATTCAGGCAACTGACAAGATGCTCTCAGTCAGAGGACAATATGGAAGAGGGACTGAAGATTCAGAAATATCTTGACAGGCTTGAGCATTGGGCCCTATCCAACAAGATGCAGTGTAGTGGTGAGAAAAGTAAGGTCCTGCATTTAGGCAGGAAAAACCAAATGTATTGGTTAGAATACAGAATATTCTATCAGAATAGGCAGAACCTGGCTCAACAGAAATCCTGGTGGACCACCACTTAAGTATGAGTCAGCAGCAAGCTACAGCTGCCAAAAAAAGCCAATACAGTCTTAGATTCTATGAACACAGGGATAGCATTGAGGACACAGGAAGTGATAGTACCCTTCTATAGTGTACCAGTGAGGCCACACTTGGAATACTGTGTCCAGTTCTGGTCACCACGATACAAAAAAAAAATTAATGCTGAGACTCTAGAAAGAGTGCAGAGAAGAGCAATAAAGATAAGATGATAGCTTGTACAATGAAGAGAACTGGGTGTGTTTAGCTTAATTAAGACAAGGCTTAGGGATGACATGATAGTTGTGTTACAAAACTTGAAGAGCTGCCACAGGGAATAGGGGGTTGATTTTTTTTTCCATAACAGCTGAGGGCAGGCTGAGAAGTAATGGGTGGAAGCTTGTCAGAAGGACTTCCAACTAAGAACTAAGAAGAAGGAGAACAATTAATCAATGGAATAGCTTGCCTTCTGGAATTTTAGGTATTCCATCACTGGAGGTTTTCAAGAAAAGATTGCACAACCATTTGTCCTTGATGGTATAGGGACCCTAACCCTAATCCTTGATCAGGGGATTGGACTGGAAGATTTCTAAGATCCTTCCAGCCCTATAATTCTATATTGAGCCATATGATCAAAAGGCTGAACTAGTCTGAAGTGTTAGTTATTCTTCTAAGCTTTTCTAATGCTTGCCTGGATTTCCATTCCTAACGTATCATTATCACCATAGTCTAGCAAGAAGGTGATCTATAGTGAAAAAGAATTGCTTATTCACTGCGAACAGAAACCTTCTCAAAACAATGAAGAACCAATATAATAAGCTCTAAGTTTAATGGACCTTAGCTTAATACAGAGGTCTCCAAACTTGGCAACTTTAAGACTTGTTAAAGCATAGCTGGCTGGAGAATTCTGGGAGTTGAAATCCACAAGTCTTAAAGTTGCCAAGTTTGTGAACCCCTGGCTTAATAGATTTCAAATGCAACAGTTCATACACTCTCTACTTCTCAGCATGTTAAAATTAGTATTTAATACGTGCATAAAATGCACCCTATAAATATATGTAAACCTACTAATGATTCCACAGGCATTCTGCTTTACTCCTTTCCTCTATTAACCCTTTAAGTCAAGAATTTGCTATAGATATAATTTTATTTTGTTTATTTATTAAACAAACTTATATGACAACCCAATTCATACATGGTTATTCTGAGTGGCTTACAGCTTTAAAATTTCCTAATGTATAAGCCCATAGCATTCTCTCCCCCCATCCACAGCATATAATTTCCATATAATGTTCTCTCAGAGCCTCTGTGCAATGTTCTATCTTGGCATTGCAGTTGGGGTAAACTTTCTCTATATATTTTTCCCTCTTTTTGAGATGGAAATATTTTTTCTTGAGTCCACATGTTTCCCTAGCTATCTATGTGGCATTCACATCACGGGCTTCATCCTGGCCCACTTCTGTGCCCCGTGATTTGATTCTGGGCAACTGGCCACAGTCTGCCTGGCCCTCTTTCTCTTCAGCTTAGCCAGCCAGTCACCCTAATTTTTTTCTAGCAGTGGAACTGTCACATACATCATTTCTGTCCACCAAATTTTCTTCCTTCAAACTTGCTTTCTTCTTCATGTGTGGAATAAAAGGAAGGCTAGACTAATATCATACTTTCCATCTCAATTTTGCCATATTATATACATAAAAGGGAAAAGGCTGGATATAAATAATGTAGTCAGCTGTTATTGCGTCCTTTGCTTTTTTATTAGTTTTACATGCTTTCTGTTCTATTTTGCCATTTTAATATTTTGATATTTACTAATGGTTAATAAATAAATATCAACTATTCTTTCTTTCTTTCTTTCTTTCTTTCTTTCTTTCTTTCTTTCTTTC